TCCGGCCTCACATTTACCTACTGTGTGACCCTGGGCAAGTCACTTTAACTCTGTTTGCCTCAGTTTCCTCATCTATAAAATGAGCCAAAGAACAAAATGGCAAACCATTCCAGTACCTTTGCCAAGAAAACCCCAAATGGGGTCATGAAGAGTAGGACACAAGTGAAATGACTGAACAACAAAAAGTTCATCTCAAGTACCTCATCTCATTTACTTTATACCTTGAAACACTTCAGCATCTTTACCTGTTCTCTCCTCCTTTAGTCCATACTCTTTTCTCCTCCAGGAGCTTACCTTATTCACCATTCTCGCCTTTTCTCAGCTTTCATCTTTCTTGACCTCTCTATGGTTTTTGAAGTATTAATCATACTCTCTTCCTCATTATTCTCTACCCTGGCTTCCAGAGCACCACTATCTCCTGGTTCTCTTACTTGACTGATGTTTCTCCTTAGTCCCCTTTGCTATACTCAGTTCTGGGCTTTCTTCTTTAGACACTCTTCCGCTTGTTGACCTCACTAGCACCTGTTCAGTTATTACCTGTGTACAGATGACTGCCTTATCCCTATGTCTAGCTCTGATCTATCTCCTGAAGTCCAATTTCATGTCACCGATTGCCTTCTAGCCATTTTTTCTTAGATGATATCTCAAATTTAACATGTATGAAACTGAACCCATTATCTTTTCCACTGAACCCACTCCTCCAGACTCTTCCCTGCTTTTTTTGGAGAGGTCTGCCATATTTTATGGTCACTCAGGCTTTTGACCTTGAGGTTATCCTCTTCCTTTTCCCTTCCCTCCCAAATCCAGTCAGTTAACATATTCTGTTGATTCTGCCTCTATAATATTTTTTTTTGATAATTTATTTATTCTTAGTTTTCAACATTCACTTCCATAAGATTTTGAGTTTTAAATTTTCTCCCCCTCCCACTCCTCTCCTCCCCTACTCCAAGACAGTGTGCAATCTGATATTGACTCTACTTACACATTCATATTAAGCATATTTTCCCATTAGTCATAATGTAAAGAGCAATTAGAACTATTGGGAGTAACCACAAGAATGAAGCAATAAAACAAAACAAACAAAGGAAAAGGAGAGCAAATGGTATGCTTCCAACCTCAGCAATATTTCTTGCTTCTATTCCTCTTTTTCCATCAAGAGTCTCCACCCTAATTCAGGTTCTTATCACTTCTCACCTGTGTTATTGTAATAGCTAGCTTACTAATTTGTCTACCGATTTTCAATCTCTCCCCTCTCCAATTTCATCTTTTTTAAATAATTGATTTATTTATTTTTAGTTTTCAGTATTCACTTCCATAAGATTATGATTTTTAAATTTTAAATTTTCTCCCCTTCCCCAAGATGGCATGCAGTCTGATATAGGCTCTACTTATACATTCATGTTAAGCATATTTTCCCATTAGTCATAATGTAAAGAAGGATTAGAACTGATGGGAGGGACCATGAAAATGAAGCAATAAAACAAAACATCAAAAGAAAAGGAGAGCGATACCATATGCATTCAGAGTCCATAGTTCTTTCTCTGGATGTGGATAGCATTTTCCATCATGAGTCTTCTGGAGATGTCTTACATCCTTGCATTGCTGAGAAGAGCCAAGTCTATCAAAGTCAGCCATCACACAGTGTGATTGTTATTATGTATAATGTTCACTTGGTTCTGCTCACTTCACTCAGCATCAGTCCATACAAGTCTTTCCAGGTTTTTCTGAAGCCTGCCTGCTTATTGTTTCCTATAGCATAATAGTATCCCATTACATTCATATGCCACAACTTGTTCAGCCATTCCCCAATTGATGGGCATCGTCTCAGTTTCTAGTTCTTGGCCACCACAAAAAGAGCTGCTATAAATATTTTTGTACGTGTGGGTCCTTTTCCTATTTTTATTATCTCTTTGGGATACAGACCTAGAAGTGGTCCAATTTCACCTTTGACAGGGCTGGCAGAGTCATCTTCCTGAAGCACTGGTTTGACCATGTTACTCCCTTATTCGAAAACCTTCATTACTTCTAAAAAATACAAACTCCTTAGTCTGGTATTTAAAGTCTTTTTAAATCTGTCTACTAGCATCCTTTCCAGCCTAATTTCATACTATTCTCCTTCAGGAATGCTACTGTTCAGCTAAACTGGATGAGTTGTTCCCAAACTCTAACACTTTATTTCCCGTCTTTCTGTGTTTGTATGGTCTGTTCCCATTGCTGTAATGTACTCCCTCATCTCTGTCAGGATTCTTGTCTTCCTTCAGGATTCAGCTTAGGAACCACCTCTTCAGAGAAACCTTTCCACATTCCCCCTTTTTGTGTCTCCCCCTTCCTTCCCCACATTATTATTACTCCCTCCTCAAATTATCACGCATTATTCTTGTTTGTCTAGTTTTTTGTTTTTGTTTTTATTAATTTATTTTGATTTATCAATAATCACTTCCATATGCTTTTGAGTTTAAAATTCTTCTCCCCCTTCCTCGCCACCACCCTCCCCAACACGGCGTATAATCTGATATAGGCTATACATTTACATTCATATTAAACATTTTCACATTAGTGATATTGTAAGTAGAAATTAAAACCAATAGGAGGAACCATCAGAAAGAGGAAACAGAACTCAACAGAAGAGAAAAAAATTAGCAATTTGGGTTCCATAGTTCTTTGTTTGGATGTGGATAGCATTTTCCCTCACAAGGTCTCTGGAGATGTCTTAGATCCTTGTATTGCCAGGAAGGGTTAAGTTTATCAATATTAGTCATCATACAACATGGCTGTTATTGTGTGCAACATTCTCTTGGTTCTGCTCACTTCACTCAGCATCAGACCATACAAGTCTTTCCAGGTTTTGTGAAGTCAGCCTGTTCATCATTTCTTACAGCACAATAGTATTCCATCACATTTATATACCACAACTCACTCAGCCATTCCCCAATTGATGGGCATCCTCTCAATTTCCAATTCTTTGCCTTGTTTGTCTAGTTTGTATTGCATCTCCTCCTGGTAAAATGTAAGTGCAGGGACAGAGACTGTTGTTTTTGTTTTTGTAATTCCTGTGCTTAACTCTATACCTTATATAAGGCAAGTGTAATACATGTTTGTTGATGTGAATTAACCAAATATAGATTAGAGGAGATTGAGGACTGGGTGGGGGAATAGAGATGGTGAGTACAACTACTTTTTCCTGAAATTTGGTGATGGGGAGAGGATAGTAGTTTAAGGAAGCCACTAGATCAAAGGAAAGTTTAGTAAATGGATAATTGTGGCTGTGGAAAGAAGAATTAAGGCTGCATAAGGGAAAGGATGATTGATGAAGCAGGTTGGTCTGAGGCTAGAGAGACATTAGAATTGACTAGAGTAACAAAGTTGTGATAAAATACGAAACAGAATTCAAGGGGAGAGATTTATCATGAAAAATAGATCAAAGAAACATTTAAGAAATACAGAATGTTGCAATAGAGAAATTGATGATAACAACTAAGTGGGAGCCAATGGAAAAAGACAGAGCAAACTCAGGGAGGCAAAAATATGTTTGGAAACAATTTTTCATTCCTTTTTCTTGTTGTCTTGAAAAATGTCAATTAAGATTTTTCTGTGTGATGAGAAAGGTTTCAAAAGACTAAAACAAGAAAAAAAAAGGTCACTGAACATTTTGGGAAGATATCTGAATTATTTTTAAAATGATGTGCAGAATTCATTAATTATGTTCTTTTTTTTTTAAGGTGAGCACTATAATTGTTTGGTGTGTTTTAGTAATTCCATGCCTTTGGGTGCTAGATAACATTTTCCCTCGTAATTGTTAAATTTTGAAAGCATTTTATTTTCCCATTTATTAGTGTGTAACAAACTTGTCCTGATCCTTTTTGCATGTTTGCAATTTATAAAGTCAGGATTCATTTTTAAAAAAAACAGTGCTAATTATGACCTTTACCAATGCCTTAACTTTAGGAGCATAAAAGAAAGAGGAAAAATAGAATTTTGATTGACTAACATATATTACTAAAAAATTGAAATGCTAAAAAACCTAACCTTGTTCCATTGTAGTAAATGACTTTTGTGATACTTTAAATAACAGAATGTAAATCAGGTTTTCGAATTTAAATATCAGCTTTAAATTGTGCCATTATATTTTACTGTGCTTCAGTCAGTGCTGTACTAAGAAAAAAATTAAGGTGTTGGTAAAATTTAGAGTTGTTGTAATAAAACCATTCCTCATTTACACCTTATTTATTATGGGTTCTATATCTAAAATAAGTGATTAGCTTTCCTTCTGTGTGACCATAGTGATTTCTAAACAAACCTTTCTCCCTGTGCTGATCAAGATGATATTTTCTTTTATATTTTGCAAAAAATGTACTAAATGTACCCTAAATTGAAATTCTTACTGTATAAATTTAAGTTATAATAATGTTTTAATAATTAGAATGAAGGAAAAAGTATTTTAATCTTGAGAATTCTTAGGAGCTTTTTTAATGATAAGTCCTGAAAGTAGATTTTCAGAAACAACTTCAAAAATGAATAATACTTAAAATTCAAATTCTGTGATTTAGATTACAGATTTAGAGTTAGAAGAGATCTCAGAAGTCATCTAACTCAACCCTTTCCTCTTTCCCTTTCCCCTTCCCCAGTTTTACAGATGAGGAAACTGAAACCTAGAGAGGTCAAGTTACTTGCCTAAATTCACCCCGAGTCCATCTATCCTTTTCACAACACCATACTATTTCTTCTGTCTCTTTTATAAAATAAAATGTTGAGGGCCAAAAAACACTTTAAAGGAAGAACTCTTGAATTATTACACTTCTTTTCAAAGTTAAATATTTTCAATGCATTTTGGCAAACCCTTATAACCAGAGCATAATGAAGCGGCTTCCGTTCTATTTATTGGATTTTGTGGAGGAGGGCAATGAGGGGAGTAAGGAAGAGAGAGATGAAGGACTTTTTGTTGCTTTTGGCATATTTCTGTATTTATTCTCAATGTCACTCTATCTATGGCTTTCTTACAGGTGGATGAAAGGCAAACTGGAGAACCTGGGTGGCTTGGAGGGGAATTAAAAGGAAAGACAGGATGGTTTCCTGCAAACTATGCAGAGAAAATCCCAGAGAATGAGATCCCCACCCCTCTGAAACCAGGAGCTGACTCTGCCCCCACGCCCACACCTAAACTTGCCTTACATGAAACCCCAACTCCTGCGACAACAACCTCTTCAGAATCCTCTACGGCCTCCAACAACTGGGCAGACTTCAGCTCCACGTATGTGTGGCATTCTTGTTGATTATAGTTGAGATCCTAATAAAGTATCAGGATTTTCCAACCATTTCATGCCCTCCTACTTAGACCCTCTCAAAGAAAAGAACTCACTAGATTGCTTTCATCCCCAGTGTCTTGTGGTGCTTTCAGTTCAGTAAACATTTACCATTTATTGACTCCTATATGAAAGCACTAAGCTAGATCCTAGGAAAACAAAGATGAAAAATGACACAGCCCCTGACCTGAAGAGCAGACAAATTGTGGGTGACATATCAACATCTATTAGGTGATGACAAAGTTTGGTCACCTCTGTGTAAGTGAAAGTTAAGCATCAATAATCTGTTTATTTTAATGACTAGTTAGTACCTTTGCTCTTGATGATCTCTTTAAACATTGAAGCCAGTCAGCAATTATTCCTAGTCATTTCCTGTATCTAAGTAGCACTATTTGCTGATATAGATGCAAAAATGAAATTCCCACTTGTGGTTGGAAGAAGAGACAAAGCTGTTTCCCCTCAGTTCCTATAAACTACTTTGCTTCTGCAAATGTACAGTGGAATGTAATAATGTTACCATCAAATTATGCTAATTCTCAGTTCTTGATTGTGAAGAGTTGGCCTTCAAGCATAGTATTTATACAGTGATTTCATTTTGTAATGATCCGCTTTATGAAATCGTGAGCCCTTGTTACAGTCCCACAATTCAAATTTTTAGGTTGGTTAAAAAATATTACTTGGGTGAAAAATAAAATCATCAATGAGATGATTCAGTTACTGTGACCAGGTGACTTAAGGTCCATAATGAAAAGGTGTCTGTTGCCATGTATTCCTTGTTTAGAGTGATATTTTTTTGGAATGTGCAATCTTAAAAAAAAAGAAAGCAAAGAAATCAAGAGAGAAGATCAGATGCAGGGATGGGGAACCTGTAGCCTTGTGGCCACATGAAGTCCTCTAGGTCTTCAAGTGCGGCCCTTTGACTGAATCCAAACGTCACAGAACAAATTTGTTTTGGATTTGGATTCAGTTAAAGGGCCACACTTGAGGACTTACAGGGCCATGTGTGGTCTCAAGGCCACAGGTTCCCCACCTCTGTGTTAGACAATAGATGGAAATTATAAGGAAGAGAGAAGAACCATGTGAAGGACATGGGTTGGAAAGAATACTATAAGGCAGGGCAAATTTTACATAGTAAATTTTTCATGTAAAAGTCCTTATAGTGTTAAAAAAGGGAACCCATCCATTACATACTACATACATACACATATATATGTGTGTATATATGTGTGTGTGTGTGTATATACATACACAGATAATACATTTTTGGCGTTAGTTTTTATTTTAATTTTTAATCAATTTAAATTTTATATTTATTTATATTTAATTTTATATTGTGTATATATAAATTCATTTAATTTTTATATATTTATATAAATTTATTTAAATTATATTTATTTAGATAAAGTTATATAAATTTATACACATATATAAATATATATTGTAATTTTATATTAATTTTAATTTAGTCAATAATTTTGACTTAATTAACTAAAGCCTTAAGCCTGGAAGACTGAAAAAAAAAGCAAAACAAATACACCCTGTTATATAAAGTTCCTTGCTATCCTATGGATTTGATTTTGCTATCGTTCCCATGAAATTTCCCATATAGATAAATAGCACATGCCTGTGACCCTAGTAACTTCAGTAGCCTGTAAAGCAATAGTTGCCTGCCTTGCACTACCAGCAGGCAGTAGTGCTAACTTGGACCAGTGCATGATGCAGGGGAGTGGCAGGCCCCTTTGGTTCTTAAAGTGATTTGCTTATTCATATGTGGCTTCAGCTACTATGGCCAAGTGACCTGGGGTCTACAATGAAAGAATGATCTATTAGCATATATTAATTGTTTAGAGTAGTATTTCTTTTTCTTTTCCAGGTGGCCAACAAACACTAATGAGAAACCAGAAACAGATAATTGGGATGCATGGGCAACCCAACCTTCGCTTACTGTTCCAAGCGCAGGGCAGTTGAGGCAAAGATCAGCCTTTACCCCAGCTACTGTTACTGGCTCATCACCATCTCCTGTTTTGGGCCAGGTAAATAGCAATATGCCGAGGTGTGAATGACTGCATTTTGTGAAATGCAAACCTCTTCAACACATATTTATTGGTGTTATTGACCAGTGATGAACCTACCTGATATTTAACTCAGGTTACAGTATAGATGATCCCAACTAGAAATTTAAGAAATCTACAGGGTGGAGGCCTTATTTTGTTTGTGTATGTTAGTAGTTCTTCATCTGAAGCTTCTGCTACATGAAGGAATGTAGTCCTTGTTGTCTATATACTTTTCAACATAGGACAAATGCTGAATCTGCAGAAAAAGCTAATTTCCTGCCAAAAAAAAAAAAAAAAGAGATGAACCAGCACATTTGAAAAGAGGGCTCAGCTCTTCTTAGGACAAATTCTTTGCACCCTGTGGGAGGGTGATATAGTTCACAGCATATATTGGGGAATATGAAAGCAAAAAGGGGAAGACTGTAAAGTCAAAATTTCTACAGGGGGACTGTTCAATATAAACGTGTTGAGTGGCAACTGTGCACAATGCACTATGGTAGGCAGGGTGGAGAATTAAAAAAGGTTGATAAGACAGACCAGCTGTCTTCAAGGAGCTTACAGACTAGGAGCGGAAATGAGATCTACATAATTAACTGGACTCTAAGACATAAGTAATACGTATCATAAGAGAGGCATAAATCAAATACCAGAAGAGTGTAGAGGAGGAAGACATTACTTTAGCTGGGATGATCAAGGAATATGTCATAAAAGGAGATAGAATTTGAGCTGTTCCTTGAAGGGATGCCTTAATCATAGCTCAAAGTTGGGGATGGGGAAGCAGCATCTTCTAGGCATCATGGAGTTAAGTTATAAAGGTTAAAAAAAAGCACAAAAGGTGGTCAGTCATCCAATTTAGAAGTATAATAAGCTGAACTAAGACTAAGGGTAAGTTAAGTTGGCAGCCATCTAGATGTGTTATACGAGAACAACAAAGGACATATTTTAATATTTTTATAAGTTTTTTAAAAATAAAAATTAACTATACTAGCTGTGTGATCCTGGGCAAGTCACTTAACTTCTCTCAGGCTTCATCCTTTCTCATCCATAACATGGGATAATAATAGTACATAATAATACTTCACAGGGTTGTTTGTGAGGATCAAATTTTTTAAAAAAAGCATATAAAGTGCTTTGCAAACCGTAAACTGCTATATAAGTTTGAGCTTTTGTTATTATTGTTCGTTATTGTTCCTATTAGAATGGAATTTTATGCCAGCAAATTTTGTCCTTTCTGGCATATGGAAATTGTGTGATGTCAAGTTACCATGTGTTATGAATGAAAGCTCTTGGGTAGAGAGTAACAGATAGGCAGCATGATGGTCAAAGTGCTGAGGGGTGTGATTTTTCAAGACTCTTTGACGATTTGTAAATACTGTGTCCTGGCTTTGGTGTTGGGTATATAGATGGTGGTGGTGGTGATGATGATACCATTTGTATAATGCTTTAAAGTTTACAAAATGTTTTACATTTGTTAGCTCATTTGATCCTCATAACCACCATGTGAGGTAGAGGCTAGAGGAGAAATTAGCTATTGCAATGCCACAGAAGCCACATGCTGGCTTTTAGGAAGGAGTGATTAGACTACGGTCACCTGCTACAAAGTTTAAGAATGAGAACTGAGTAAAAAAAATGGGATTTTGTAATTATGGGGTAATTGGTGACTTTTAAGAAGGGAGATTTATTTAAGTGGTGGTGGATTCAGAAGTCAAATTACAAGAGATTTAGAGTAAGTGAGTGGTGAGGAAGTGAAGACAATCAGCAAACACAGGGTAATTTTTCTAGAAGTTTAGTTAGTGAAAGGAAGCAAAGGAAGAAGTGGTAGCTTCAAGGGGGTAGAAAGGTCAAGGGAGGGGTTTTGGAGGGTTTCTATTTTCTGTTTTTGTTAGAATAGAGAACTAAATGTGTCTGTAGGCAGAGGGGAAGGAAACAATGGAGTAAGAGATGGCGTATGCAAGAGATTGAAGGGGTAATAGATCTTAGTCAATAGAGCAAATTCCAAGAAATGGTCAAACAAGATGTCGATAACTTGACAACAAAATTTCAACTCAACATACATTTTTTAAGCACTACGCAATATGTTAGACAGTGTGTTACACAATGTGTGAGGCCTGCTTCCTCCCCTTAAAGCCAGGGTTCTTATCCTTTTTTTTGATAGTCTAGTAAAACCTATGGGCACCTTCTCAGCATGATGTTTATTCTCTCCATTCATAATTGAAGTAAATGCTAAGTTTGTTAGAGGCTAGTGAAAGTAAAGATGAAATTTTTTTCCCCCCACCAAGTTCATCAACCTCCTGAAATGTATTCATGGACCTCAAGAACCTAAAAGAAATTACAGTCCAGTAGGAGCTGTATACTTTTGCTTTCTTTTAAAGGGCCCTTTGTACACTGTGCCAGGTATAGTGTACAGAAGGGTCAGCATGGTTGAAACGACTAATAACTTAGCTTGGCTGCCATAAGGAAGTAAAAGATAATAGACCAGTAAACTTCAGGAGAAGGGAAGGGAGGTTGGAGTAGGGAGACGAGGAAGAATTATAGATTATGAAGAAGCTGGAGAGGCAGCTGAACAAGTACGATGAAGAAAAGTGGAAGGAAAGGAAGTTTGTGGTCAGAAAAGGCCAGTCACAGTTCACCATCTTGGATTTGAAACAATTTTACCTCTAAAGGGCCAGGATATGCCTACTCTAGTGTGACTAAAGTCCAGTGAAGGTAAGTTGAGGAGATCCAGGCACTATCAGGCTTCATCTGTGTTGAGACTGAAGTTAACTTGAGTTTCATAATTTTTATTTAATGTGTTTTGAATTCGTGAATTGTCTTACCCTTATTTGTGTACAAGTGCAAGAACATTTTCCAAAGGCAAATATAAATTATTTTTATATCATTCACCATTCTGGGTTATCATTTGTTTCCCTCCTTTGAAGAAATTGTTAGTTTTCCACTGATACATTGAAACATTTTGGTGGTTTTATACAGTAGTCATCATAATAAGCATCTCTAATTTCTTTCTTCATTCAATTCACAAGCATTTATTAGGCATTTCCTAAGTACCAGGCACAATGCTAGGTGTAGGAGATCTACACTGCCCTCACGGAGCCTCCATACACATATACAAAATAAATACAAAGTAATTGTGAGTGGAAGGGATGAGGAAATCACTAGTACGTGGGGGTATCAGGTAAGGCCTAATGTGGAAGTTGAAATCCAAAATGCTAAGGGATGAGGGATTGAGAGAGAAGAGGGCAAGTTGACAGCTTTTTCTTGGAATTTGAGAAAGGGAGGAGACATAGGATAATAGTTGCGGGGGATGGGGGTATGGTTAAATGAAGGTTTATTATTAAAGATGGAGGTAACTTGGGCATATCTGTAGGCAGCAGAAAGAAAATCGAAGCTTGTATTTGGTCACCATTTCTCATGATATCTTTATGAAAATGAAATTCCCATTTAAGAAACAATGAGAGTTATCAGAAGCAAAATTTCTCAGAAAACAAATAACCACAAAAAGTAGTCAAGACTTCACATACTTAGTTTCTGATCATCATTTAAGCTAAACTATGTATGTATATGTATTAATATCTATGATCCTAATGAAAAGTGTGTTTGTCATACATTACTGTCTTTCTTTTTTCTTTTTTTTTGTTTGTTTGTAACAAACTACTGTGTAACCAAAGACCCCTTTATGTTGTTCCATATAAGGGTGAAAAGGTAGAGGGGCTACAAGCACAAGCCTTGTACCCGTGGAGGGCCAAAAAGGACAACCATTTAAATTTCAACAAAAATGATGTCATCACAGTCCTGGAACAGCAAGATATGTGGTGGTTTGGAGAAGTTCAAGGTCAAAAGGGTTGGTTCCCCAAGTCTTATGTGAAGCTCATTTCAGGACCCATAAGAAAATCAACAAGGTATTTGCGATGTTTATCTGCTTTTATCCGAAGGGAAAAAAAGTTGTACTTTGAAAAGAGAGGAACCATGGTGAAATGGAAGAGCCCTGGGTTTGGACTGTAAAGGACTCTAGGTTCTCCTTTCTAACTCTGATGTTTACTAGATGCTTCATTTTGAGCAAATCACTTAACCTCTCTTGGCTTCACTTTCATGTATCTGTAAAATGAGAGGGGTTGGATGCAGTCATCAGTAAAATCCCCTTCTACTTCATAGTCCAGGACATCATGGCCCCTATCACTGTTTTAGACATTTTGAAGGACAATAAAATGTTCCTACAATTTGATGGCTATTTCCTCTAACTGTCATAGCATTTAGAAAATCTTTTTTCTCTGGAATTTAAAGTGAGGAAAGTCTACTTCAAGGCATGGGGCCAAGATGTGACCATGTCTGTTCATCTTTGTTTGTAGAATACCTAGTACAGAGTATGCAAAAATAATTCCATTGATCATGATAATTAAATTTTATTTTGGTAGATTATAGTTGGGAGAGTATTTTCTTCCTCTCTATGGAATATTTATGTAACACAGAATCCAAACAAGGCTTTTGTTTGTTTTTTTTTTTCAAATTAAGATGAAGCTATCATGGCAGGAAAAAGGCAGTGTTCACTGGGTTTTTTAGATATAAAATTTTAGCTTTAATACACTGAAAATTTTAAAAAGAGAATCTATGAAATTAACTTGTTAGCTTTTTCAAATTTCAAAGTAGATTAGACTATGTATTATAGTGAACATACTAAAAATATCCAAATGTTCAAAATAACATATTATTAAAAACTAAAATGGGAACTAATCATTATATATATGTGCACATCATATGGGACTGGGGTTGGAGATGGGGAGGTTGTTCAGTAGGATGGTTTCATCAGGGTTAAGAGCTTCCCCAGGTAGAAAACTCCCTCTACCAGCACAGCTCAGCAACACTTCCTCAACTTATAGTCTTAGAGAGTTGCCTGAGACACTGAAAAATTAAGTGACTAGGTCAAGGTCACATCATTATTATGTATCAAAGATAGGATCTGAACCCAGGTCTTCTTTACTCTGGGGTCAGCTCACTGTCCAGTCAAGTATGTCATATTGCCTCTCTTTTGTGTCATTATTTGCAGTTCAATTTGACTTTAATTTTAATCTATGTTTTTCCAGGTTTTAAGTGGTGTATATTTAAAGGTTTCATTCGTATGCATGCGTTTGCTAACAGTGGAAATTAAAGTATCTCTGTATTTTTCTTTTCTTAAGTATGGATTCAAATTCTTCAGAAAGTCCCGCTGTTCTAAAGAGAGTAGCATCACCAGCAGCTAAACTTTCAATACCAGGAGAAGGTAAGAAATTGAATCAAATATTATTTTTAAAATGTTGGTGGGATAATATAATAGTACCAATAAACATGCTATGAAAGCATTCAGATATTAAAATACAGTATATTAGTTTATCCATAATATGTTAAATGTTATGGTAAGATGGAAAATTAGTCATTTAGAGAAAACTGTAGTAGTTTTTGGAGAAATTAAAAACAGTCCTAGAATATAACATTCATCTTCGGTGCAAAAATGCTGGAGCTGTTCATGAGGAGACACACCCAAATAAGAATGGCGTTTATGGGAGAATAGAAGCCAAAGGGAAACAGCAAAGATATAGGACCTCCATTGCCCCTAGTCCTGCAGGAAACCTATAACTGGTGGCTCAGATATGCAGCAGGATGCCCACTCTAATAGGAGGCTCAAAGTGACCCAGAGCTCAAACTTATACAGAATTTCTGGACTAAGAGCCAACTGTCACCAGTGAGTCAAGTCTAGGCCAATGAATTAAAGGTATTTTATGAATTGTCTAATGAGGAATGAGGAGCAGGAAGCCAGGAAACTTACTGGCTGTGCCACAACATAATAAAGTTCCTGGGACAGTAGGAAGGTCTTGGAGTTAACCATTCAAACCAGGTTTCATTGGCTCATATTATCAAAATCTAAAAATATTTGGGAAAGTCTCTTAAGCTCTACTTGTGAACAAGATGGAGAGGTGAAGACTAGACAAAAGTCTAAGTTGATTTTTGACTGGTTGAATGACTGTACCCAAAGAGCAGTCATTAATGACAGTATCAACATGGAAAAACATAATTAGTGAAGAGTTCCAGGTTTATGTATTTGGTCTTATACTTTTTTTTTTTTTTTTTTTGGTGAGGCAATTGGGGTTAAGTGACTTGCCCAGGGTCACACAGCTAGTAAGTGTCAAGTGTCTGAGGTCAGATTTGAACTCAGGTCCTCCTGAATCCAGGGCCAGTGCTCTATCCACTGCACTACCTAGCTGCCTCTAGTCCTGTACTTTTTAACATTTGTAATCAATGACTTGGATAATGGCATAATAGATCTTCTGCTTATTGAATAGGAAGGTCAATCAATTTTCAAGTATTTATTAAGTGACAACTATCAGCCAGACACAAAGCTGAGAACCTGGGTAGCTAACACATTAGATGACAGAGTTGAGACTCAAAAATATCTAGACAGGCTGGAACATCAGGCTGAATATAGTAAGGTGAACTTGATAGAAATAAATGCAAGTTCTTAAATTTGGGTTAAAAAAATCAGCTTCACAAATACAAATGTGGTAGAAGAGATGGCAAGATGGTAGTTCAACTGAAAAAAAGATCTAGGGGGGGCAGCTAGTTGGCGCAGTGGATAGAGCACCAGCCCTGTAGTCAGGAGGACCTGAGTTCAAATCCGGCCTTAGACACTTGACACTTACTAGCTGTGTGACCCTGGGCAAGTCACTTAACCCCAATTCCCTTATAAAAAAAAAGTTCTAGGAATTTTAGTGGATTGAAAGCACAATATGTATCACGATATAAATCTCCATTGTGATATGGTAATTAAAAAGCTAATAGAATCTTAAGTTTCATTGAATGTGACATAGTATAGAACAGCCAAGAAGTATAGCCTACCTCCCTCCTTGTCCTCCTACAACTACTAAAACAAAGACTTTGAAAAGCACCAAACTAAGTGCTGTTTGGGAAATCCAAGGAAAAAATCACAGTGAATCATTTTTCTAGTTCAGCTCCACATACGGAGACAGAAGTTTCTGGGTACAGTGGTTGGGGTCCAGCCAAGAGGGTGCCACACCAGACCTTCTAACAAGAGGACTGAATTGGGTCTTGGAGCTGTGAACTAGGCAAGAAGAGGGTTAAGCTTGGAAGGCTCTGATAATGGCCAAGGAGCAGGAATAGGTGCCAACTGACACCTGTTACTTATATCCTAGAGCTCGGTCTCATATCTAGGGGGGGAACCTGCATCTAGGAGTGGTGGACCAGAGCAAGGAACAGTTGTGGGCCTGAGGCTGGGTACTAGACAAAGAGAGTAGTAAGATAAGCAAGCAACCTCTGTGTGGCTCTGACCCTGGAGTGAGGTCTCTGTTCTAGACCTCACCCTGATCTGAAGCCTCTAGCTGAAAAAAAAAAAAAAAAACCAAAGCAGAGCAGCTAGCTCAGAAAAAGGGAGAGCCTGTAGTTCTACACCCCTGAGATCACTGAGGAATGCTAGCATTCAAGTTCTAGATAAAGCAGAACGAGGACCTAAGAAAATTCAAAGTAGGACCAAGCAAGGCCCAGATATTCCATCCAGAGTCCCAATTCAGGAAGTTTTGGAGAATGAGTAAACAAAAAAGAATCTCACCATAAGAGCTATTGCTGACAAGAGTGCAGGAGAATTACTGTAAACCACATAAAAGCAAAAACTCAAAGCAAAACACAGTTTGTACGCAAGTCCACTAGAATTCCTGGAGGAAATGAAACAAAAGTTTTAAAATGATTTTATAAATCTAAGAGTGGGCTAGAGAAGAAAACTGGAAAAGAAATGAGAACCATGGAGGAAATGTTTGGAAAGAGAATTAATTTAATAGATTAGCAGAACAGGTACAAAACCATAACCAAACCACAGGCTCCTTAAAAATGAGAATGAACAAAACAGAAATGAATGATTCTGTGAGACAACTAGAAGTATTAAAAGTCAAAAGATTAGAAAATATAGAAGAAAATGTAAGTTATCTTACAATAAAAACAACTGACCTAGAAAACAGAAAAGGGAGAGATAATTTAAGAATCATTGGAATGTGTTAAAGGCCATGATATTAAAAAAAGAATCTAGAAATCATAAAGGAAAACCACCTCTTAAAATCAGAGAGCAAGTAGAAAATAGAAAGAATTCACAGGTCATCTCCTGAGAGAAATCCTCAAATAAAAACTCTCAGGAACATCATAGCCAAAACCCAGAGCTTCCAGATCAAAGGAAAAATACTACAAGCAGCCAGGAAAAAAAAGCATACGAGTACCAAACAGCCACAGTCAGGCTCATACAAGATTCAGCAGCACCATGCTAAAGGAGTGGAGAACTTGGAATGTAATATTCCAAAAACTCAAAACATACACAGGCTTTCAACCAATAATAACTTACCCAGCCAAAGTGAGTATAATCCTATAGTGGAAAAAAATAATCTTTAATGAAATAGCAGACTTTTAAGCATTCCTGATGAAAAGACCAGAGCTGAGTAGAAACTTTGAAATACAAACACAAATACAAACAAAAGATACAAGGAAAACATAAAAAAGGCAATATGGTTGAGCATTCAAAACAAACTAAACAAGGATGCACTGTTTGTATTCTCATGGAAGGCAACAATATGAGTCCCCTCAAAACCTTAGGGGTCATAGAGAGAGTCTAATAAGACAGAGAGCCAAGGAATGCTTTTGTTATATTTTAATGATCTTGAGGGATGAAAGGAGGCAAGAAATACACTAAAGAAAAAAAGTGGAAGAAAGAATGAGAAACGTTATATCACATAATTTGGTGTACAAGTATAAGACCTTGCAAACAAGAAGAAAGGAGTAGAAGAAGTGGATAACACTGGAACTTCACTTTCATCTGAACTAGTCAGGAGGGTAGAATATGCACCGAATTGGATGCAGAAATACCTTTCTCAACATGGAAATAGTAGGAGATGGAGAGGAGATGGGGAGAAGTTAAGAAGGAGATTAGATTTAGGAAGGGGTAAGCAATAAGCAAAAGAAAGTTTAAGCATAGAGGGTAGATTGCAAAATGGGGTTGAAAAATAAAAAAGAACCTACAATTGGGCTTTGGATGAGGGAAAGAAATGAGAGTCAGGAAAGCAGAAACAGATTGTGTAAAGCATAGAGCAAAGGTACTGAACACATTCATTCTCACCATTCTCTTCTCTAGAAAGACAGGGAGGGAAGCAAAGAAAGGAAAAAGTATAAGAGAATAAGAGGGAGGGAAATATATAATTAATGATTGTGATAATGATAACTATGACCATGAATGGGAGAAACTCACCCCTAAGATGGAAGAACTTAGCAGAATGGAGGAGCAAGAAAATGTGTTGTTTATAAGAAATACATTTGAAATATTAAGATTCACACAGAGATAAATAAAGGTCTGGAGAAAAACCTTATTATGCATCAGCTGAAGAAAAAAGGCAGGGTTAGCAATAATAATCTCAGAGAAGGTAACAACAAAAATAAACTTGATTAAAAGAGACAAACAAGGGAAATCACATTATACTTAAAAGTACCATAGATAATCAATTTCAGTATTAAAGATATATGCACCAAATGGCATAGCATTTAAATACTTAATAGAAACGTTAAATATGTTACAGGGAGAAATAAAGAGTAAAAAAAAAAAGTATAAGATTTCTTTAAGATCTAGACAAATCTAGCCAAAAAATAAACAATAATGAAGTGAAGAACCTGAATAGCATTTTTGAAAAGTTAGATATGATAGGCCTCTAGTGATTATTGAATGGGAATTATAGGAAGAATGTTAGGAAAGCTAAAAGCTGGAATTTTAATGTCTACTAGATAGGTGGGCCTAGAGTCAAGAAGACTTCAAATATGACCTTATACAGTTACCAGCTGTGTGACCCTAGGCAAGTTATTTAATCTGTCTGCTTCAATTTCTTCAACTGTAAAATGGGGATAATGAAAACGTCTATCTTGCAGCATTGTTATGAGGATCAAATGAGATTTGTAAAAGTACTTAGCACAGTGTCTCGAACATAATAAGCTCTCAATAAATGCTCATTTCCTTCTCTTTCCCTGATTAGCCAATGCTGGCAATAAATACTAAGGACAACAAAAAAGATGTTCTAGCTTTATCAAAAGCAGGAAGAAATTAAAAGAAGAGATGTGACCACTATTCAGGGTATATGGTATGAGGATAATTAACAGCAAAACGTAGAACTTTCAGACTCTTATTTTGGTTCTGTTTCCACTTCTAAAGGAATTGATCTTGAGAAAGACTAGAACAAAAATAACCAACAT